ACTGGTTCTCAACTGTTTTTATCAAGTACCACTTAAAAAACTATACTCCGTAAAGTTTTTTGAAACAACTTTAGTGAAGAATGGAGGTGACACGCCCCCTACGAGTACGATGCCATCTTGTGAGGGACACGCTGTCAACAGAAGCAATTTACCATGAGAATTAGAATTGCATCTAAATATCATTTTTTGTCCAATTTGCAAGAAAAAATGTGCCAACCTGCTKTTAAAAAAGACTATGCATGATGTGATAAATACTTTATAAATACTTTAAACTTAAGTCAAAGTAATTTCTTAGTTGTTAAAATAACTGATTTCCCACATTTTTTTGCCTTGAAGAAAATAAGTCTCATGAAGTTGTCAGTAATGTTACTATGCAGTTAGTACTTGTGTAATATGCAGTTAGTACTTGTGTATTATGCAGTTAGTACTTGTGTTCTGAGGTATTTCAGTGTGATTTGATGTTGCAGAGAATAAAGTGAAGCTGATTGCTTACAGTTTGAATATTTAGCATTCACTATTCACAAAAAGTTAGGGATATTTGGTTTTCAGGTGAATTTTATGGAAAACGTAAAACATTGACGCTACAGTGATATCATTTCATGAAATTAGGACATTAAGTAAAAGGATGCACTGGTGATTTCCTCATCTCAAACAATTTATTGAAACAAAAATTAACAACAATGGTGGGTACACCACAATAAAAAATTTCAACGTCTCAATAACTCGTCATGTGCCCTTGAGCATCAATTACAGCTTGACAACAACGTCTCATGCTGTTCACAAGTCGACTTATTGTCTGCTGGGGCATGGTATCYCACTGTTCTTGAAGGGAAGCCCTCAGGTCATTCAGGTTCTGGGGTGCAGAGGTTCGAGCCTCTACAAGGCGACTCAGCTGATCCCACAGGTTTTCAATGGGTTTCAGGTCTGGAGAAAGTGCAGGCCATTCCATTTGAGGTACCACTCTCCAACAGCCGTTCCCTGATGATGCGACCTCGATGAGCTGGAGCATTGTCATCCATGAAGATGAAGTAGGGGCACCATCACTGGATTAATGAAGTTATTCAGGTAGTATGGGCTTGTCACTGTACCATTCACAAAGTGTAGGGCAGTTCTGTACCGACTGGAGACACCTGCCCACACTGTAACACCGCCACCACCAAAAGCTCGTCTGGTGACAGCAGTAGCTGATGCATAGCGCTCTCCTTGACGTCTCCAACATCGCTGGCGGCCATCATTTCTGCTCAGCGTGAATCGACTTTCATCAGAGAATAGCACTGAGGCCCACTGGTCCCTCGTCCAGCATAAATGCTCCCTGGCCCATGCAAGACGATGACGCCTGTGCCTGGTGGTGTGGTCAGGTACCCTTGCAGGTCGTCTAGCACCCYGACCACGYTGATGTAACCAGTTTCSAATGGYCTGACGTGACACTTGGGTACCTCTCACCTCCCTTAACCATGCCTGGAGTTGAGWGGCATTCATCATCCGGTCTCTCAGGGCATTGTTCACAATGTAGCGATCATCAGCATGGGATGTGGCCAATGGACATCCACTTGTGACTAATTATATAAAAAAAGAGTGAAACGTTGATTGGATCATGCTAGTAGCATGTTAGCCACTCCAATATTCCAATTTCCAGCCGTAAAGTTTGATCTTTCTCTCAAATCCACCAGTATTACCTTTCTGAGTAAACTAGATAAGAATGCAAATCAGTAAATAAAAAAGGCTTGCATAGTTTTTATTAAATTTAGTTTATGTACAAYATTTTTCTTGTTTACATGAATGTCTTTTCTTCTTCTCTGAAGTGTAAAAATAATAATTACAAAAACTGCAACTCGTTATATATTTTCAGTCACTAGCCGGAAAAGCCTCTCTTCAACAAACTCAAACTGGCCCACGGGCCACCAGTTGATAATCACAGTGGTAGCATTTTATTTTTGGCTCGGGACACATTTTACCAGTGAGCCAAGGAGCAGAAACGGCTCTTTTGACAGTAAAGGCTGCAGACCCCTGACCTAAATGAATTAAAATGCGTTTTTACTGATCATGCAAACATGAAAATACCCAGCAGAGGGAGACAGAACCACAGATCCTAAYAGGGAAAACAGATGTTCTCAGTTTGATGTGTGGATTATCAGTGGGGGGAGAAACATAGAAGCAGGTAAACATAAGCATCTACTACATTATAATGACTACAGTCGGTGGAAAGACAAAAGAACAATAAACCTTAGATGGAAATGGGAAAAGGCTATAAAAAATAAGTGTAACAAGATGTAAAAAAAAATCAGGAAGAAAACATGATGAAGGAAGACATTTAACCATAAAATAATTCAGTCTGAAAAATAAACAAAATGTAAAACCACAGAAAATAAAGGTGGCAACAGAGAATCATGCTGGAATAATGACTGCAAGCCATAAAGGCAAGAAATAAAATATTTAGGGAAAAATAACTCACAGGAAAATTTAATCCTGTATAAAAAAGCACTGGTAAGGAAAACAACAAGAACAGACATGTTGGAGACAATATTGTAAAAATACAGAATTGCTGTTACCAGACATTTAACATGAGCAGAATGAGTTGGATAAGAAATAATTATCAGTGTTAACAAGATGGCTGCAGCAACCAGGAGAAAGATGAATGGGAGCAGAGCCTGGTTCAGTTTTCTAAATCTCACTGCCAATTTACAGACATTTGCACCAAATTTGTTTTGTTTTTGATATTATTTTTTATCTTCAGAAACCAGGCTGTCTAATTAAAATAGTTACAATATAATTAATTTGAAACAGAACACCAGAAGCCCTTTTACCTGCTGACATCATGAGAAACACCTGTTCATGTTAACCAGCAGCTGTGGACTGAAGCAGCTCYAGGGGGGATAAGAAGAGTTAAACTAAGACTGAGATATTGGGTCAATCTGAAGGGACATGATGGAAATCAGCCAAACAAAATGTTTTGGCAAATTGTTGGGAGCATTATGAAACAGACAGCAGGAGTTTTGGGTAAAGACAGAAAGAGTATAATTTTGTAACTTTTATACTTTCCTCCATGGTTAGTTTTATTAAAAGTCATAAAGTTAGTTTCATAAAGTCAATTTATCGCAAACTAAAAAAGGAATCATATCAAGTCTCAGCATGGAGCATTGTCCAAAATGATTGTGAGCAACATTTTCTGATGATGTGATCATATTTATTGATGACGATAAGCATCCTGAAACAGAGAGCTTCAGCAGTTTACATCTGACAACAGATGTGGGGGTGGGAGGAAAAACTAGATGGAATAGAAAAGAAGAAAATGTAATTACTCAGAATTTTAAAAAAATCACTCACGTCTGAATTACAATTTATACAAAAATAAAATAAAATAAAAAAACAAGCATCCAACAAGAAAATGTAACCATTCAGAACCAACATGAACTGATTCACTGTAATAAACACGTCTTCTGTTTCAGTTACTAAAGAGAAAAAAAATCARACTTCACACTAACAGATGGAAGATAAATAAACTAACATACTGTGAAGTTATTTCATTTTTCAAAGCTATTGTCTTATTTAGCAGAGTTGTAAAGAAACTAAGTACAAATACTTTCTTACTGTACTTAAGTAGAAAYTTTGGTTATCTGTACTTTACTTGAGTAATTATTTTTCAGCGTACTTTTTACTTTTACTCATT